CCGTAATTCCTCTTATACCACTGAGTGAAATTTAATGAAACCTTCACAGAATCTTTATTACATATTGCCATTGTGCACCTCCTCTTTTACTTTTTCATATGACACATATTTTGGGTTTGTTTCCCGGCCACAGCAAAACATGGACTTTTCCATTATAATCATATGGGATGTGGGGGTATCATTTAGTCAGTTCATTGTTCACAGTACCTCTTTTTTTTGTCAAGTATAACAAATTAAAATTGAAATGCAAGTTGCAATACATGAAATTTGTAAGATATGGTTTTGGGGAACAAGAAATTGAAAATTATAAAATTTCACACAAAAATGAGAACTAATGAGTAATAAAAAACAATAAATATCACAACTGCTTTTGCGTTTTGTATGTGTACATGTATTAAGTTTTAGTACCAATGAAACAAAGTCTTGTTATAAAACAGCAAATTATATAAGGAATACAACATACAACATACAACATACAGAGAAGACCTTACATAGATTTACAATGTGCTTGTGGTTCTATGAATTGTTTTCATTCAATATATGTATGACCCAGGTAGAACAAATCACACAAGTCTTTAATGCTGGTGACAGGTGAGCCCTGTGTCATGATGTCCACAATAAATGGAATATTTTTTCAGGAGAGCTTCTACCATGGCAGGCCCTTGAATGCCAGACAGTTTTATTTTTATTCCTGTGGTAAATTTGTCTTTGATGATTGTATTGAAATATTGGTACATACATCCCAATATCAGTGGTAATTTCTTTTCTGGAGATTATCTACATGATTCCCTTCACAACTGTCTCTTGGCAGCATTTTCTACAAAGTGTATAATTGAAAAAAATTAAGAATATCTCACAATGTTTATTTAACAAAAATTATTTCACATTATGTATCTGACTTTCAATAAATGAAATCAAGGACTTCAAAAAACCTTTTATGATATACCGGTTATTTTAATATATTTTCTAGGGAATTCAACTTTACCGGGTACTCGATCCAAGGTCCAAGTATCGAATACTAAAAAAAGTTTACTCGGATGTATATTATTTCTTTTTTCAAGGTGCACATTTTTATCAGTAACTTATAAATTATAACTAAAACATGCAAATGGTGATAAGCATGTCTTCATCTACACCTAGCTGTAAAACACCCGTTATCGCCTTGATCTACATTCATTCATTCAGTGAAATCTGACACGCAAAGAAATTAATGCCACTATACCCACTTCAAGAGTGAAGTGGTTATATAGAAATAACGAAAGATTCAAAACTGCGGAAAGTGAACTTGTGTAGTAAGTTTAGTGTAAATATACTGGAAACAACCAACAAATGAAATAATATAAGACTAGCGATCCTGACCGACAACATCTGTCCGCTCTCTTTCGCTAGTTATATAACCTACATGTGTACACAGCAGTTTTTCAAATAGATCCAATTAAAACTACCTTTTGTAATTTTGGGTGTATTGTGGATTTGTGTTTTATTTGATAACTAATTTTAGTACCAACTAGAACTGTCCAATAGGGACAAATACCCCCGCTGGGTTTTTCAGAGTAGGTGCCAATATTCAGAAATATTTTATGGATTTAGTAAGTGGTATTCACTATTGTCTAATAAAATGCCTTGCCACAGCATGATAAGCCCATCAGATATTGTTGATAATCATAAATTGGTTAGGGTGCAAGAAAATCAAGTAACCTTAATTAACAGATTGACACAGATTTCAATGATCTAATTTCCATTTCTTATCATGTTTAAAATATTGTACATACATCTCTAAGAGACTTACAGTGTAGGGATTAATTAAAACAAATAGTACATCATATAATTCTAAACTGGCTGTGTTAGAGCTTAACAAATATCCATCTGCAGCTTTAAATTGTTTATTGCAATATTATGAAATAATGGAAATGCTACAGTCTAATAAAAAAAATTCAAAAATTAATTATTCTTTAGACTATAAAATTCAAGTGAGACATGACTGCAATTTGTTGCAAATACCGGGTATATGAAAATTGAAATGTAATTTTTTTTTCAATTAACACATATATATAATTAATTTTAATTATATCATACAATACTAATTCAGTTTTAATCATACACTAAAACATCAATTTGTTTTAATTACATTACACCAATTGAAAGATCTTTATCTGAACTACAGCCATCAAGAACTCTTAATTAACACAAGCAACTATAAGGCCATTTCTTTTGACCCAACTCCCAAGAGGTAAATTAAGATTAGATCTAGAGATGCCCTTGCCAGTTAACCGACAATGAACTCATTAATTTCTCTCTAATTTGACATACACATTTCTGCTATCAAAAATTCTCCTTGACCAGTGCTTGATAATTATGCCCATGGGACAAACTGAATTCCTCTCAAATCATTAACATTTGTTATAGAATTTGCTGTAAAGTATACGATAAAAAATAAGTTTTTACTTAATTTAGCATTTTTTAATAAGGATACAAATATATTTTTTATATTTTTAAGGATCATTATGAAATTTAAAATTTTAAAGACTTAGTTTTTTTTATAAAAAAAATCACTTAAATTAAAGGTCACAGTGACCTTAAAATAGGTCGTGACACACCGTCTACCCAAGATGCATAAATTGTCAAAGTTTGATGATTGTAAGTCTAATAGTTTTCTAGTTATGACTCAAACAAAATCACAAAATAAAAAAGAAAAACGCCTGTAAAATGCAGAAAAACCATCCAATCATGATGAAAATCCCAGGTGCACACCTTCATATGGTGAATAATAAGTGTATAAATTTTCAGACAAATCCATCCAACACTTTCTGAGAAACGGTCCGGACAAAATCTTGTCTACAGACAGACGGACAGACGGACATGGTGATTCCAATATACCCCCCTAAACTTCGTTTGCGGGGGTATAAAAATTATTTCCAATGGAATTCATAATTATCTGTACATGTAATGAAAAAGTCAGATAAAGTCAAAAAAAGTCAGATATCGAGTAAGCGATTATTAAACATGATAAAAATTGACCGATTTGACTTCTCTAATATTTTTTTTGTATTTGTTTTCTCTTTCAAAAGCCTATATTATAAGCAATCATGTATTTGCATGTATTTAGAAAAAATGGAAAGAAAATAAGTCAACAAAAAATTAGAAAAGTCAAAATATACTTTCAAAAATAGTATTCGGTTCAGTTTTGCCATCAAAACAAGAAGATTTGTTATGCTATAAAAAATATGTATCATAAGTTATGAAATTTTTTTCCACTTATCTAGAAATATAATAAATTGATGTACTCACCATCAGAAAAGTGTTTCTGGTTGTGCTGAGTTGAGTTTTCTTCTGCCATTTAGAGGTGGCACAGGGCAATTCCACAATGCAATCTTAATTATATCCCCTTTCTGTTAGCTGCCACCGTAGCAGGGACACATCTATACAAAACACAATGTAGTTCTTATGCTTGCGTTTTAATTTCTGTCCAGATTTTACAGTTTTGGCCCATCCTTCAACATACATGTATGTATTAACATTAAATGAGAAAGGATATATAAATGTATACACAAACTCGGCATGATCATTCCTCAAATAATTTCTCCCTGGCATGTATTCATGGTAATTAGAGTACCAGTTCGTTCGATAAGACCCGACCATAACAGCTATCATATTTCGATATCTAACATGTCTAAAGCATGCCTGCATAGGGAGACGACATTTTCAGGTTAAAACAATCAAAGATAAGGGTGACAATAAAAGATAGGCTAATCACAAAGTGTGAGTTACCTTGTTTATTTTGAAGAGAAGGCCTGTCACTTCCAGTCAATCATTGTAAATCATTTGTGCTCCACGTGGGTTTGTTGACAATAATTTCACGCTGAATCGTCTATCTGTTAGATTATTACGCGAATGTAGTACACAATTGATAAAAGGAGTTACATACCTCTTTTCTTCTATTTCATACAAGATTATTGAAAAGATAAGTTCCTCAGTAGCTATGTACCTGTCATTAATTCTAAACATAATTACCTACTTGAACTATTTTGTCCCTCGTAGTATTTCTAAAGATCGCTTCAGTATCCCGTGCTAATCAAATGTTGAACCCAATTTGTTTATGTTTTAGACATACAGAGTTGTCGTTCGTTCTTCTCTCAAACCTGAAACGTATCAGCAGTAACAAAGTAATTATTCGTTTTATTATAAGGCTATTATTTTTATTGGACTTTTTTTACATAAATCAAAATGAATAGTTTAAATAAATTTGCCATAACACACACACTTTTTGATATGATAATAACGATAAAGATTGGGAAGGGGTCGAATATGATTAAGCGGGTTGTATGCCCTTAGTTTAAGATACATCCGTTTGGAGTACCATGAAGCGGGACAAACATCTTGAGAGGTCGAAAGGTCAAAAAAGCATGCAAAATTAAAAGGCGGCTTCCGCCTAAAAATGATAACTGCCTGGGAGTTTTTTTCATCAAAAATTAAAATAAGACTTTTTTTTTAATGCAAAGTATAACACAGTCAATTTCACACCACTGCAGCCTCCCCGAGAGCGAGAACAATAGGGACAGTAATTATCAGTAAATGTCAGCACTTGTCTAAGTTTTTCAGCAGGGACAGTAAACGGGTCAGTAATTGTCTAAGTTTATCAGCACCGACTAAGATTGTCAGCACTTTTCTAAGTTTATCAGTACCGGCAGTAAAAAGTTCAGCAATTGTCTTAAGTTTTTCAGTAAAGACAGCACATTGTCAGTAATTTTCTAAGTTTGTCAGTAAAAAATGGGAATGTCAGTACGTTTCTGACTTAGTAGTGCTGGTCGCAGTGGGTGCTGGCTCGAAAAAGACCCCTCTCTGCTCAAAGGGTGCCGAGTATAAGTAAGAAAAATTTGAAGTTCTCCACCGGCAACTAATGGCATATCCATATGAGTCAAAAATTCTCGAGAGGGACGTAAAACAATATAAATCAATCAATCATACATCGAATTAATTTAATAATCAACTCCCATCAGTACTTTCAGTACTTTGATTGTCACTTGTTCTTTACTTCTCGGGTTGCGGCTTCGGTGTTTGTCAGATGACTTCTGCATCGCGTTTACACTGTTACGTTCGTTCTGGGCCTCCATAGTTAGCGCTTGAGTCTCAGCAACCTCGAGGGCACGACCTAGATCTAGGAGTGTTTTTAAGTTCATGTAAGGCTCCCGCAGCGCTCTTCGCCTCAGTCTGTTAGAGCGACAATTCTGAATTATCTGTGAGAGAATTTCCTTATCTATCTCTGCAAATTCACAATCTTTAGACAATTTCCTCAGTTCTGTGATATACTCATCTAACGATTGGCTGACGCTTTGTTTACAGTTTCTAAATTTATAAACTTCCATCTGAGGGTTTTTCTCGGAGAAAAGTAATCAGATAATACTTGCTTTGTGGCCGCATAATTTGGCGCTGTGTCTCCCTTCTCTGCTTCGTAGATATCAAACACTCTTTCTCCAGCGTAGTGAAGAAGGAGGGCGCGCTTTCCCCCCTTGTCGTCGATGTTCATGCCGGTAAACAAAAGCTCCAAACGTCGGGTCCATTTTTCCCATTTCGGTCCAGCGTCGGCCTTATCAGCATAATCGAATGCTGCAAATTCTGGCAGTCGATCCATGATACACGTTATTGACCTCGTCGCCAAATGTAATACTTGGGTAGGCCCTAGATATTGTGAGACATTCACGAACACATGTGTACACTTGATGCTGACATTTTATTCCGTAAGTTGATATTCATCACCTGCATACGGAGTGTAATGAAGTTGTGGTAACAATAAACGCTAAGAAGATCAAGAATGCGGGTTAAATGGAATAACCTGTCTCCCCTATCTTAGTTGAAATAGACTAGCCCAAAAGGGGTATATAAAAGAACGCGCTGAGAGTTTCAAAGTTAGTCAGTCGTTTGTGGAGCTGCAAAGTAGAAGCAGTAGAATTTGGGTAAGAATAAGAAAAGGTGAAATAATAGAAATTAGAATACATTGCACCAGTGGCGAGAAACCCGGGGAATTGAGGTGAGATACTGGGGGCTGTAGATCTGCATAAGAACGAAACTCCTAGTGCCCGCCATCAATAGGAACCTGGGGCAAGGTACACGGTGCTTTGTTACCAAGTCATAATTTAACCACGCTTGTATATATTTTGTGATTAAAGAAATGAAAGTATAACCCAGATAGGTTAAAGGAAAATTGTTGTATTGTAAATATTTAATATCAATTCTCTGTAATTATCAAACAATATCAATAATGCTTGGCCACGCTACATTTTCAATTTCTATGAAACTTTTTGTGTGTACTCACATTGTCACATCATTAATGGTTTTATATTTTTTTATTTCAAAAAATGTCTCGTTGACAATTTTGAAGTACATATAGACTAACCAGGGCATGTTTCAAGTTTCCTGAAACTATCCCCTTAGATTGAAACTAATATGAAATAAAATTTTCCATATCCATTCTCTATTACTATGGAAACAGGAATGCAAGATTTGTTACCATGGAGACAAGAATACCAGATTTTTAACCAAAATGGCTGCATTTAATGTAACAATATTCCCAAAACTACACTTATTTACTCTTTTATAAAACCTGTGTAATTAGTTAAATGTGAATGTGAACTTAATTTTTTGGTACTTAAATTTGCATTTTTATGATGTTGCAAAAATATAATGCATTTTGTAATGCTATGTCAAATAATTGCAAAACCTTGTGGCTTTTACTTTTTCAAGATTTGGTCAAACTTGAAAAATTCTGAAATGAAACGAAAACAAGCAGGACATTCATAATATTTTACTCATTTCAACTTGTTACTTTGTATAATTATTTATTAAATTCAAGGGCAACTGCAAACCACAGATACTTTGAATGAAGTCAAAAATTTACCCCTCCCCCTCTTCTGATTTTTTTCTTTTAAAACTTATGAAACACGGCTTTAAACTTGAGAAAAATTACATTGGTTAAAAAAAAAATCAATTCCTCTTGGGTAAGTTATCTTGGATTTAAACATAAATATCCAACAATGGAAAACTTCCCCCCCCCATGAGACACTGTCCTCCACTAGTATCATTTTAAGGAAGTTCTTCCTTTCATTTTACTAGGTTTCTGCCAACATCTCACCACACCAACTATATCAATCTTCTTTTCTTTTTTTCACATGTAAATATAAATTCTGAAAACAAGAGAACTTTTCGCTTTTTTAATTTTTTATAAATGCAACATTTAGAGTACATGTATTCTCAACTACAGTACATATCATTAGATTTACGTGACAAATTCTACTGTTTCTGCTGCTCTGAAAGTCTTGTCTCTGATTTTTCAATTTGAGAGTTTTTGTTGGTCAGGCATGTACCAGTAATGACCTACATGGACATACGCAAGTAACACTGATAATTAGTTAAAGAGAATTATGCTGACTTGAGTTTTTTTGGCAAGGTACAGGATAAAGTTTGATAAGTTCTAAAACATATTGTTATACAGCATAAGATTTGAGGATGCCATCACATAATATGATAAACATGTTCCAAATATATTTGAACTTTAACATCTCAAACACTGATATCTTGAAGACTGTGGATACATGTATGTTGAAGTAGGTTGGAATTCAGCTTTCATGATCACTTGCCTGGTTTCAAACCTAAAATATGGCATCCATTCTCAACCTGCAATGGTAAATAATTCCTGCACTTTCCAATATACACTAATTTCAAGCTAATTAAATGTGTATGTAATCCTTTAGAAAGTTGTTTTCTTTATTCTAGTATAATAATTTTTCTGTTACTGGACAGGTATTAAATTTTGTTTAAAAAAAAATAAGCAAGATTTAAATTTAGATATAAAACTGAAATATTTTTTTAACAATTTAAGGACAGATGATACAAACTTTTGTCCAAGAATTTGAAAATAACAACTGGGGTCATGTTTAAATCCGTAAAATTAATAACTTTCTGCAAGTACTTTTTAATTTTTAATTCATATTTGCGTAAAAATGGAATTTGAAGTGAAAAGTATTTGTATAGATTAATAAGGATAGTTTCAAGAGGGCAGACTTTTGAACATCACAGAAGGTTTACAATTTCTTAATATTCTAGAAATTTATTAATAGCATCATTAATTTGCAATTAAATTATGCTAAAAAATATATACCAATTCAGCCATCCATTTTTTGTTTGTATCATCTGTCATTAATTTTCTTTCATATTTTAAGAACGGTTACCTTGAAAAGAACAAAATCTAGGCTGTCCACTTTCTTGCAGAATGCACTTGAACTTCAGTCATGGCCTATTTGGTCCTGTTTTGGTTTAATGGTCTTACTTTTTCTCTATTCATCTTATATGGTAAATCCTTTGATGAAAAAATGATGAAAATAATTATTTTCCTAGGAACATGATCAAAAGGAAAATTCATTTCATTCATACACAGACATGTTCATTTGTGTGATCATCTTACCAGTAGTGAATATTTTCCTGAGTATCAAATAATTTGTTTAGAATATTATAAAACATGGTCAGTGTGTATAAAACAAATATCATTATAAATCAGAGTTGAATATTCTACATGTACATGTATATAGTTTTATTATACCCTCTGCTTGAAAAGTGGTAGGGTATACTGTAATTGGTATGTCCGTCTAGCTGTACGTCCAGCTGTCTGTACGTCCGTCTGTCTGTTACGCTTTAGGGTACCCATCTCTTATTATCCGCAACTCCTCTTATACCACTGCAATGAGTGAAATTTAATGAACCTTTCACAGAATTTTTATTACATATTGCCATTGCGCACCTCCTATTTTACTTTTTGATTCGACACATATTTTGGGTTTCCTGGCCACAGTAAAACATGAATTTGTCATCAGTTATAACCATATGGGAGGCAGGGGGTATCATTTAGTGAGCTCATTGCTCACAGTACCTTTAGTTAAATTTTGTTTTAACACTAATACATATATACAAGTGAACATATATATTTTTTACTGTTTGCTATTTGAAAAGATTATTATTATTCACAAAAAATTGAACTATAGATTATACAGTAATGGTACTTCACAGACAAATGAAAGAGTCTATATAAACAAAAATAACTCAATATTTCCAGAGCATTCTTAACCTAGATCTATTTTGTCAATACATATAGTACAGTTTTGGTTATATATAATAAATTTAAAGTTTAAAAGATAGAAGCTATTAAATAAAACAATAACATCCAAACAAACATGCTGTTTTCCTATTTTCTGCTTCTGAACATCACATGACCATATTTTGCTGATATATAGAATACTATTTTAAAAACTCAGCTACTTTATGCGTGTGCTCACACATTATGAACGTTTGATGCACTTTTTTTTTATAGAAACAAACTTGCTCTAGTTAAATATTTTAACAACACAATACTGTAACATAGTAACATATGTGCCTAATGCCAATAAAGAATTGAAATAATATTAATAGGATAAACAATGAATGAAAACTGACAGAAGTGGAAATTTATATTATAAAGATAAATAATATTCACTTAAAAGTCTCAGCACATCATAAAAAGTAAACCTACTGAATGGCACAGATTTTATACAATATTTACATAGACATTTATATTTCGGGGGGGGGGGAGTTCAGCTGTATCAGCAAGTGGTGTTTATATGATTCAAAATCATTTTTATTAATAAAAATAATTAATTCATTGGTCAGAAAGTCAAACTGTCAAAAGGTATTGTTCGCTTGATTTGATAAGGACCATTGATAAGGACCACTGATCACTACCGGTAAAACAACTGTGTATTGTAAGGCAAATAAAATTAAGAAAATATGCATTTGTTAATCTTGATATTCTTGTAATGCTCAGTATATAAATAAATTTACCTTCTGTCTTCATTGTTTAAGATGTCTAGCCTTCTTTTCTTCTTTCAGACTGTAAAACTTTGTTGAGATCTTTCGCCAGAAAATGTTCATTGCTGTTTACTAAATACACATTGTACCTCCAAACGTTAGAGAGTAGTTCAAGGGAAGTAATTAGGAAGCAAAAAATGCTTCAAAATGTAGAAAAAAGTAATCTTTACCTTTGAATTTCTTTGACATCTTTGAATCTCCCACCAATATTTTACATATTTTGATATAATCAAATATCAGCCTTTCATAATTAATTATTACTAAATTTGTAATCAGTGTGCCTTTTTTGTTTTAAGCCTCCTAAAACTCCACTAAACCAATCACATATCTGATATGTTATAATATGTAAAATGGCCATTTACTATTGAGAGATTAAATTAAAACTACTGATATAATTACTATAATCTGTAGTATAAAATTTAAATAATGAAAACATATTAAGTTATCTCTTTTCATTTCTGGACACAGTTTTTCCTGATAAGTACATGTTTTTCAAAATTGACGAAATTGAGGAATTTGCACCCCGTTTCTATGGCAACCAAGGGTCTATTTCATAAACCCACTTTAGATTTTACAATAAATGACATGGCTGTTTAAAATTATTATAAAAATATCAAAATGTTTTTCTATGCGTGGCCAACAATTTTGATAATTACAGAGAATTGATATTAAATCATTAGATCAAATACTCAGATAGAGTAACTCAGTTAGAGTAAGAGGAAAATTTCATCCCCTATAAGA